CACTAGCAGCCACAGTTGTGGATACACTAGCAGCCACAGTTGTGGATACACTAGCAGCCACAGTTGTGGATACACTAGCAGCCACAGTTGTGGATACACTAGCAGCCACAGTTGTGGATACACTAGCAGCCACAGTTGTGGATACACTAGCAGCCACAGTTGTGGATACACTAGCAGCCACAGTTGTGGATACACTAGCAGCCACAGTTGTGGATACACTAGCAGCCACAGTTGTGGATACACTAGCAGCCACAGTTGTGGATACACTAGCAGCCACAGTTGTGGATACACTAGCAGCCACAGTTGTGGATACACTAGCAGCCACAGTTGTGGATACACTAGCAGCCACAGTTGTGGATACACTAGCAGCCACAGTTGTGGATACACTAGCAGCCACAGTTGTGGATACACTAGCAGCCACAGTTGTGGATACACTAGCAGCCACAGTTGTGGATACACTAGCAGCCACAGTTGTGGATACACTAGCAGCCACAGTTGTGGATACACTAGCAGCCACAGTTGTGGATACACTAGCAGCTGCAGTTGTGGATACACTAGCAGCCACAGTTGTGGATACACTAGCAGCCACAGTTGTGGATACACTAGCAGCCACAGTTGTAGATACACTAGCAGCCACAGTTGTGGATACACTAGCAGCCACAGTTGTATACACTAGCAGCCACAGTTGTGGATACACTAGCAGCCACAGTTGTGGATACACTAGCAGCCACAGTTGTGGATACACTAGCAGCCACAGTTGTGGATACACTAGCAGCCACAGTTGTGGATACACTAGCAGCCACAGTTGTGGATACACTAGCAGCCACAGTTGTGGATACACTAGCAGCCACAGTTGTGGATACACTAGCAACCACAGTTGTCGATAAACTAGCAGCCACAGTTGTGGATACACTAGCAGCCACAGTTCTAGATACACTAGCAGCCACAGTTGTTGTATACACTAGCAGACACAGTTGTGGATACACTAGCAGCCACAGTTGTGGATACACTAGCAGCCACAGTTGTGGATACACTAGCTGCTGCATCTGAGGATACACTAGCAGCCACAGTTGTGGATACACTAGCAGCCACAGTTGTGGATACACTAGGAGCCACAGTTGTAGATACACTAGAAGCTACAGTTGTGGATACACTAGCAGCCACAGTTGTGGATACACTAGCAGCCACAGTTGTGGATACACTAGCAGCCACAGTTGTGGATACACTAGCAGCCACAGTTGTGGATACACTAGCAGCCACAGTTGTGGATACACTAGCAGCCACAGTTGTGGATACACTAGCAGCCACAGTTGTGGATACACTAGCAGCCACAGTTGTAGATACACTAGCAGCCACAGTTGTGGATACACTAGCAGCCACAGTTGTGGATACACTAGCAGCCACAGTTGTGGATACACTAGCAGCCACAGTTGTGGATACACTAGCAGCCACAGTTGTGGATACACTAGCAGCCACAGTTGTGGATACACTAGCAGCCACAGTTGTGGATACACTAGCAGCCACAGTTGTGGATACACTAGCAGCCACAGTTGTGGATACACTAGCAGCCACAGTTGTGGATACACTAGCAGCCACAGTTGTGGATACACTAGCAGCCACAGTTGTGGATACACTAGCAGCCACAGTTGTGGATACACTAGCAGCCACAGTTGTAGATACACTAGCAGCCACAGTTGTGGATACACTAGCAGCCACAGTTGTGGATACACTAGCAGCCACAGTTGTAGATACACTAGCAGCCACAGTTGTGGATACACTAGCAGCCACAGTTGTGGATACACTAGCAGCCACAGTTGTGGATACACTAGCAGCCACAGTTGTGGATACACTAGCAGCCACAGTTGTGGATACACTAGCAGCCACAGTTGTGGATACACTAGCAGCCACAGTTGTGGATACACTAGCAGCCACAGTTGTGGATACACTAGCAGCCACAGTTGTGGATACACTAGCAGCCACAGTTGTGGATACACTAGCAGCCACAGTTGTGGATACACTAGGAGCCACAGTTGTGGATACACCAGCAGCCACAGTTGTGGATACACTAGGAGCCACAGATGTGACTACACTAGCAGCCACAGTTGGGGATACACTAGCAGCCACAGTTGTGGATACTCTAGCAGCCACAGTTGTGGATACACTAGCAGCCACAGTTGTAGATTGTGGACACTAGCAGCCACAGTTGTGGATACACTAGCAGCCACAGTTGTGGATACACTAGCAGCCACAGTTGTGGATACACTAGCAGCCACAGTTGTAGATACACTAGTTGTAGATACACTAGCAGCCACAGTTGTAGATACACTAGCAGCCACAGTTGTGGATACACTAGCAGCCACAGTTGTGGATACACTAGCAGCCACAGTTGTGGATACAGTTGTGGATACACTAGCATTGTGGATACACTAGCAGCCACAGTTGTGGATACACTAGCAGCCACAGTTGTGGATACACTCACTAGCAGCCACAGTTGTGGATACACTAGCAGCCACAGTTGTAGATACACTAGCAGCCACAGTTGTGGATACACTAGCAGCCACAGTTGTGGATACACTAGCAGCCACAGTAGCGAGCCTTCATATAGTCGGCTCTGGCCATATTGTCGTCTTCCATTGACCTTGAGCAGCAATGGTGCCCAACAGTCTCCTAATTGACTTAACTTAAGATAGTATGACTACGGATAGCACTGGTGTGATTTAGGTTTGCACTGACTATTCACACTTCGGAGCTTACTCCATAGTCTGAGTTCGGTCTTAAATTAAAAAGGTGTCTGAAAAAACGGCTGATGTTGCTGAAGCTTCCGTTCTTTGGAAAGATGTGAGTGAAATGCATAATGTCCTATGCACCAACACTGACTCATCTAGAAGACAAACAAATAATAGTCTGTACCAAGGTCTGGAAGTTCTGATTGCCACAATATCAAAGGCAGAATAAGCTGATCATTCTTGGTGATGTAAACGCCAGAGGTGGTGCTGACCTCGTGGCCTCGGAGGGAGTCTTCGACAGAAATATGGCATCGTCATTTGTATCAGCAATGGACATTTGCTCTTGGGGACACGTGCAGCAAATGATATTCTCATCATTAGCACCGTGTTCCGTCTGGCCAAGCATAACAGAAAGGCCGTACGAAAGACAGGGAGGATGTCACTGTGACGAAGAACATGTAGGTGCAGGCCGCTGGACGGACCACCGACCGCTCATCTCAAAACTAAACTTCAGTATGCAGTTCCCTAAACGTGTACACGGCGTCTAGATACCCTAGCGCCTGAGCATCCTCAGATTGAGTGACTGCGGCATTCGGCAGATACCTGCTGCCGCCCTGGCATCTAGGCTGGACGTCACGGGTGCTGATGCTGATATAGAACCAAGCTGGGCTGCCTTTACATGGATGTGTACTCCATTGCATTTGAGTAATTGGGTAATTCTCTTAATGGTAATAAAGAGAAAGCATCAGGACTGGTTTTACCAGAATTGTGATGGTTAAATTTAGCTATTATCCTCTCCGTAGGATTATAGCCAGATTTGGATGCCCAAAAATTTTCATGGAAATGGTGAGACAATTCCATTGCGGCATTCTTTGCAGAGTCTAAGGCCGTGACAATTACACTGCGCCGTTCGCAAATAGCGTGAAACGAGGTTACGTTCTGGCTCCCAGCCTCTTCAGCCTCGTGTTCTCTGCTATGTCGATTGATGTTTTTATTGAAAGTGTTGTTGGGATCGACCATCGTTACTGTTTTGATGGGGAGCTGTTCAATTTGAAGACGCTCTAGGTCAGGACCAAAGTTCAAATTCTGACCTTTCCTGATATTTTATTTGCGGATGACTATTCCTTCAATTCCAGTACAGACGCTGGCTAGCGATACATCTTAGATTTCCACGGCTTTTATGAACTTTGACCTCACCATCTCAACGAAAAAGACTCCAGGCTCTGCATTAGGCCACTCCTCGCTGTAACTATGCTGAGCTTCCTTTCTCCATCTGTGACTAAAGCTCAACAACATAGTGAGCTTTACAAAACTCTGCAGTACACTATTACAGACAGTCAATATCGATGAGGAGGTCAACACCATGGTCGCCAGATTATTAAGATTGACACTAAACTAAAAGTTCTTCTCAGCTCTCGTCCTGTCCCCTCCCCCCTTTCCTCTTTGCTTGTGAGACCTGGACTGTCTACACTTGTCAGGGAAACACCTAAATCATTCCAGTCATTCATTCCAAAAACCAATCAGCTCCAGAAGGCCTGATCGGAGACCGAGCCGCGGGGATATTGAGCCCCGAAATCCTCTCAAGGTCGCAAGGTAACCATATGAGCTGTCTGCCGAAGCTACTGAGGGTAAAATGGCAAGACAAAGTACCAGATCCAGACGTCCGTGCACAGACTGGCATAGCAAACACCTACACCAAGCTTAGCAAGGCACAGCTCACATTGGTTGGTTATGTTGGGAAGATGCAAGATAAACGACTGCTCAAGTTGATGTTCTACAGTGAATTACAACGGGGAAAACGTTCTCTTGGTTGGTAACAGAAGTTATAATATATAATATACATATATTTACAAGTAAATTGTCAACCACACTATTGTGGAAATAAAAATTATGTTCACTTGGGCACTAAGAGTCTCGAACCACCGACCCTTTGAGCGTGAGACAGAAGATCTACCTCTGTAATATGTAACAACCACAATAGAAAAGGTTTTAGAGGTAACAATCCAATGCCCAATACACATGTGAATGTGTATTTAATCAAAAATTGCCCCTAATATTTTTTTTCCATTTCTTACCTGAAGATGCTAAAGAGGGGAATGAAACGTTGTAGAAAAGAGATTCTTTACCTTGAATTCTGGTAACTTAATTGTTCTTCTTAATATTGGCACTAAGAAAATAGAAGCACAGAGAGCTTACGTTAAGACATTAATATCGCCAGCAATGTGGTCACATTTATTCAAAAATATACATATACATATTATGCCAGATACCTACCGGTAATGCTCCTTCAAGGTAGTTAAAAACTGATATCTTGACGGGGAGGATCTCACCACGTTTGACAGATGGCGGGAGAGTGAGGTGGATGAAGAAGGGAGTGAAGGTGGTGATGGAGGCCGCCTGGGAGACTCCAAGACCCTTCTCTGGGTGTACACACACAGCTTTCCCCACCCACTCAGTAATGGTGTCAGGCATCTTTAGTTCCTCGTTACTCACACCTGAGGCCCTGTATAATATACATGTTGTTAATGTTATTCATTCCAATTATTGAAATTAAGGTATAACTTTAATTATATAGTATATATAATTAACCTTTTTTTAAATTATTTTATTTTAAATTATATATAATTAACCTTTTTTTTAAAGTATAACCTTCTTTTAACCTAGAAGGGGTACCACCTTTGGTGCAAATGTAGGGACCCATAGCCTCGGAGAAGAAAATAAAGAGTACTCAGAGAAGACCTTGTGTATCCTTACTGAACACTCTGATATTTTCTTCTCCTACCACCCCTATTCTTTTGGTATGTGTGTATATTTGTCTAACTTTATTTGAAAATGTCATTACACAAATAAAGTTACACTATTGATTACATGCAGGGTACAAGGCTGTTTGTCACAAGTTGAATAGCTCCTCCAGCTCCTCAGATGGCAGGGAGGAACCATGGATGCAGTGAGCATTTCCTCTCTGGACCGCCACACTAAGGCGCTGAAAAAGAAAACTGGCAGCTCTAGGGTATCTAGTTGTTTTAATTAGCTTAGACCCGAACGTCTTCAAAAAACTAGCAGCACTTTTACCCCAGGCACCAAGTGTCTCTGAGGCAATGGGGACAAAATTGTAGTGGTGCACATGGTCTTTGTATTTACGTGACTTGGCCACTTCCCGGTGATTGGCAGCTCCTCCTGCTTGTGTAGCACTGAAGTCAACATAGGTATCAGCCAAAGTTGAAACGCAAGTGTAGTCCCACACCAACTGTCTACCATTCTTCCAGGGATTCACCGTGATTCCATCTGGGCGACCGACAAGCTCATCAAAGTTGCGGGACATTAGGTAATGGGGCTCTCTCTCTGCTGGACAACCGGCTGTGGTAAGGCTTCTCCTAATAATGTCATTGACCTCGTCATGTCTTGCATGCCATCCTCCTGTCCTTTGGCAGAGAAGGTCATGCCGTCCGTACCTGTCGGCCTCTGCCTCGCCGCAAATACACCTGTATTCGGTGTGGATTGGGGCAGCGAGGTGGAGAGCCACGGCAATTCGGAGGGCCTGCGGTGTGAGACGGGTGCCGGTTGCTGACATTGGGGTTGCTAATAGGAAATCACCTGCATGGGGAGCTGCTACAGCTCTAAGTCGGGCAGTGTCATGTGGTGTTGTCGCAGCTTCTAGCAAAGTCGCAGCTTCTTGGTCGGCAATGAGGCAATCCCAGCTAGATTGCTTATGGGGCTTCAGAGGGCGGTGGTTTGGGTGCTGGTCCTGCGAGAGAGACCCATTTGATTGAACAGTCTGTGAAGCTGGGATCATGTACCCTTGCCTGTTGAACTAGGTGCTCAGGTAGAATTTCCTTCACCTAGTTGTCAGACCCCACTGAAGAGGACAGGAACGCTGGTACAGCAATTTGTGTTGCTGTGCGCACGCCAAGGTCCCCGAGTCTGACAGGAAGGGATGCCTGTTTCCACTGTGAGTCGCTGAGGAAAAGATTGAGGGCTTTTTCTAGTGTTGATTTCAGCAAGCTGTCGTACACTTCTAATTTAATATTGTTGAAAGATGGCGAACATCTTAGAAAGTAGGTCAGCCTGGGGAGGGACAAGCATCTGGTGATGAGGTAAAGTGCATCATGAGCATCGATGTCTTCAATCCTCTCGTTCATCCTCTTCAGGTCAGTGATCTTCTTACCAAGGACCTCGTCGACGGCATTCTTTCCAAGAGGAGCACCTAGGAGTGTGCTGTCCTCAGGGTTGGTTGTATGAATGTCAGGCAAACAACCTTTATTTGCTCTATTATGTGCTGGTTGGTGGAGGTTATTTCGCACTTCTAAGGGTTCAGGGTGAGGCCTAGGCTTGCTCCTTGCTCCTGAATTATTCTTATGTCGTCCAAGAGTGAGGCTGGGGAGCCAGCTAGAGTACCATCGTCCAAAAACCAAATGTTGAGCTCACTGGACAGGTTATCGGTGGCTTCCTTGATAACTAGGCAGAAAAGAAAAGGAGCAAGGGGGTCACCCTGTTGGACACCTTCTTGTGATTCAATTTCATGTTCCCCAAAAAGCAGAGTTAGATTCTTGCTGTAGCATGAGTTTACAAACGGGTAGAGGGAAGGAAGAAGGCGATGAACCGCACTGAGTATTGCATTCCTTCTAACCAGATTGAAAGCATTTTTGAAGTCCAGCTTATTCAGGGCTTTTTCATCCATAATGTTGGCAATGTAGGCTCTAGCTGCATGAGCCGCTGCTTCACACTCTTGGAGAAAGCCAAACCCAAGCTGTTTTGGCTTCAGTATGTCGGCTGCTGTCTGACTTACTGATCTAGCAGCAGCCTTAGCGACGAGACGCCGGAGTGAATTGCCCACAGCTATCGGTCTGATTCCTCCATCTTTTTTCCTCAGGGCACAGAGGGTAGCGCCAAAAAAGAGAGGCCGTATGGTCTTTGGTATGTTGCCAGCTAGACATGTGTTGGCGAATCTAGTTAGTTCCACCAGGAGGCCCTGTACAATGTCGCCCAATGCAGGGTTGAGCATTTGTTTGATGTGGTTGGGTCGTAGTCCTGTGAACCCACCTGCTGATCCTGGTGGGAAGGATAAAGCTGCTTTATGCACCATGGATTCGAGCACACACAGGGGTTCTGCTCTGGTGACACCGACTAGGGGGACACTGTCGTCACGAGGAGCTCTGGGTGGGTGTTTTTCCCTCAGGGCTTGTGCTGTATGGGCATCCCTGGTGGCAACTGTGTCTTCACTGGTGATGACTCTGATCGCCCCTATTGTGTTGCCTTCTTCTATTTTCTTGTTGACTGTTGCTCTGATTTTGGATGCCTCGGTTCTGCTGTTGATACCTTTCCTGCGGTGGGTGTTTTTGGCACGGGTGGGGAGGGGTGCCTGGTTGTCCTCTCTAGGAAAGCTATTTATAGCCATAATGACTGAGGAAGCCAGTGATTTGTCTCTCCTTGCAGGGACAGCTAGGCATATGTTTCCAAACAGGAGAAGGTTGCGCCATGCTTGGATGGTTCCAGGGACATCATTGACCTTTTTCAAGAGGCTGGATAGTTTGGCTGCTGCCTGGGGCTGGAGGTGTGCTGCAAGGTTCCAACCGATGTTGCATTGATGGCTTCTAGTAGATTCTCAGTCGAAATGAAGCTGTTGGAGGTGTTTTCCCTGACTGCTGGTGTGGGGCCTTGATTGATACTCTCTTTGGGAGGGCGCCACCTACCCAGACAATCGGTTCCGTTGTGAACATGCTTGCCTACATCTCCGTTACGCTTCAGTTTCCACACCTTGTCGCACACTTGGCATGTGCCGTACTTGTCGTCGCTAGATGGCTCCTCATGGCTGAGGGAAGCCTGGCTGTCCGTCGAGATCTGCGACATCGGCGGGCGCTGGGGTAGCGCTGGGTGGGTGCTGGGCGGGCGCTGGGTGGATGTAGCGTGAGGGGGTGGACAAAGGGAGGTGGCGGTCGCGGTTGGGTTTGGGCAAGGGAGGGGGGGGGGGGGTGACGGTACACGCTAAAGGGTATGGGGAGTGGGGGGGGGTCAGAGGGGTGACACTAACACGTTTGTTTCATCTCGTGATATATCACTGCACAATATAATCTGGTTCACTGTGGACTCGATGCACTTAAAACACGATACCTGTTTCCCGAGACCCGACGTATCTATTTTTCAGGGATATTTTCATAAACACTTACACACTGGTCACCCCCCTCGACTGACCGCACAACAACACCCCATCCCCCCACTCCCACCACCATAACCGAGGGAGCCCCTCAGGGCGCCGTTGTTGGCCCTCACTGCAGTTCAGACGATTCCACACTGCCAATCCACTTGTTTGATTGTTTTTGGTTGCGATAGTTCACCCTGGACACTTCCCGCCACTCTCACACCTTCCCAGGATGTTCACACTGCACACTGTTGAGTCTGGGCCCCGTGGGGTCAGGATATCACAAGATAATGGCACATGGCCGCCAGAGCCTCCTCTCGGCGTCCGTTCCCAGTGGCGCCCACAGGGTATATATATATATATATATATATATATATATATATATATATATATATATATATATATATATATATATATATATATATATATATATATATATTTATAGAAATACGTTTGGGAAAGAAAAATTAAAATAAAAATCAGCAATCATGGTCAGAGCTAATAGAGCTCACAGTGTGTCGGATTACAAGTGTATGATTCATTCACCATTGTGCAGTGATATACAAGAAAATTATACCAGTGTTTAAGTGTCACCCAGACCCCCCCCCCCCTCAAGCTGAGCGAGGCCCGGTCAACCCCCACCTCCTCCCCGCCCGCCGGCCTGACCGCACCACAGTACCTCCTGCCATCCCACCACCCAGCCCACCCTGCGCCTGGGTGTCTCCCACCCACCTATTCACCGCCCTCACTGTGCTTGTTGCAGGGATGTGCTACCCTCCATGTACCCAGATACGGCACAGGTCACAGCAAGCATTCAGGTTCCTCCCAAAAGGGAGGGAGACACAAGTACTCATACGAGTGGTGAGTGTGAGGGACAGCTAGCCACCCCTCCTGCCACCACCCGTGTCCACCCCTGCCGCCACCACCCCTGTCATCCCTCCCACGCCGGCCGCCCGGGGAATGGAGGGGACTCCACCAACTAACCAGGAACCCCTCAGCCAAGAACAGGGTCCTGGGAACAGTGCACCCAGACGTACAACCAGAGGACCCAGACGCAGAGGAACGTGTCGGGTGTGTGACGAATCTCACAGCCTTGGAAAACGATGGAACCCTACGTCAACACAACAACTGTGAGGGTTCATTGACGGTACCTGTAGAGAGAGAAGGCCCACAGGTCCCCCCGGCACCCCCACACATCCCAGCAAACTTCATATCATCAGATGACCTCCTGGGGGCCATCAAAGCATCCACCACCAGAACTTTTCCCCACATCCCTAAAGCAGCGCGCCCATTTGCAGCAGGGAAATATACAGACCTTTTAAGGAAAGTAAATGAACGGTCTGAAAATCTTAATGCTGCAGCCACCA